CGCGGGCCCCGCCTCCCCCAGCCCCCCCCCGTGTGCCGGCATGGCCGGGCAGGAGGCTCCTGCCCACGGCACCCTGACGCAGAGCCGGCAGGGCACGAGGCAGCCCCAGGAGCCTCCCGCGGGCCCCCTCACCTTCTCCTGCAGGGCGGCACGCAGCTCGCTCTCCAGCTGCCCCTGCTTTTCCTGCGACTGCGCCAGGGCCGCGTTGTGCTCCTCCGAGAGCTCGTTCAGGGCCTCCTGCAGCTGGACCAAGTGACTGGCGATCTCCCGCAGCTGCGAAAGGAAAATCCCCCGTCCCAGAGGAGGGGCAGAAAGTGCCCACGCTGCCTGGGGCTCTGCTCCGCTCCCCTCTCCCGAGCGTCCTGGGTGCTCACGCCCTGCACCCAGCCCCTATTTCCCTCACCACGGTTCCCCTTCGGATCAGGAGCCCAAAGCAGGCTTGGTCACTGGGTCAAGGCCACAGGAGGCCAGCGGCAGAGCCGTAAGCAGCCCCGCGTCCGGCGCTGCCATCAAATCCTTCCCCCCTGGCTCCCACCACAAACGGCTGGGCTGTGGGGCCACGGAGAGGACACAGCGCCCCGTACCTTGAAGGAAAGGTCCCCATTCTCCTCGGAGAGCTGGTTGATTTTTCGGTCCATTTGGCCTTTTTCAGTCTTCAGGTCCTGGCACTGCTTGAGGGCCTCGTGCAAGCGCACCATCAGGCTGCAGGAGAGGAGGTCGTTAAAGCGGGGGGTGCAAGCCCGAGGCAGGCGAGGACATCGCTGGGGACTGATGCCGCTGGACATTGCTGAGGAAATGGAGGTAGCGAGGTATCGCTGTGCCGTGGTGAGAAACCACCATAAATACAGCTCTAAACTGGGTCCCGATACGTCGCAAAGCGGAGCAGAGATAAGCGATGCTTGTGCTTTGCGCCAGCCGAGGGCGGAGGCAGCTGCAGGACGCCAGCCGCCCCTCTGCAGAGTGAAATAAGTGGGGAAAGGACAAAAAAGGCACGGCGCCTGCCAGTGGGGGCTGCGCATCCTTCCCAGGCAAGCACGGTGCTGCACCGGGATGCGGGAAAGACCGGCATGCAGCATGGCAGGCGACAGAATTCAAGTGCGAGCCGCAGCCCAGTTCAGATCCGATCAAACTGGAGGGCGAGTAGCTGAGGAAGGGGCTGGGGTCGGGAGCTCCAATAAGGCTCTGTGTCTCTGAAAGCTTTCAGCTTATCCCAGAGCCGGGAAGCTGGGAAGGCCACGCAGGCTGCTCCGGAGGCAGGCGAGACCCACGCGGGCAGCACGCCCTGTTCCCACATGGGGACGGCCATTCCCGTGCCGGGCTCAGGGGAAGGAGCGGGCTGTCAGAACACGCTGCCTGCTTTGGGACCGGCTCCCGGCCTGCTGCAGGGGGAAAAAAAAAAGGCTATGGGCCATAATGGCCCTGACCACGAGGCACCGTGTGCCGGCTGGCACAACCGTGTCCTGGGCTGCATCCCCCGCAGCGTGGGCAGCGGGGCGAGGGAGGGGATTCTGCCCCTCTGCCCCGCTCTGGGGAGACCCCCCTGGAGCCCTGCGTCCTCGGGGGTCCGGGGGGGTTCAGCCTGGAGAGGAGGAGGCTGCGGGCAGACCTGATTGCGGCCTTGCCGTGCTTAACGGGGGCTTGTGAGAAAGGTGGGGACAGGCTTTTTAGCAGGGCCTGCTGCGACAGGACAAGGGGGGATGGTTTTAAACTGAAAGAGGGGAGATTCAGACTGGATGGAAGGAAGAAATGTTTCACGCTGAGGGCGGTGAGACACTGGCCGGGGTTGCCCCGAGAGGTGGTGGATGCCCCATCCCTGGAAACATCCAAGGCCAGGCTGGACGGGGCTGTGAGCACCCTGATCTGGTGGGAGCTGTCCCTGCCCATGGCAGGGGTGGGACTGGATGGGCTTTAAAGGTCCCTTCCCACCCAAACCCTTCTGTGATTCTATGACTGCTGAAGCCATCTCCTCCCTGGGGTGCAGCTGCAGAGGAGGCAGGAGAGAACATGAAGGTTTTCCCTCACCCGTTTTGTGCGTTGCTGGGGAAGGGACAGGCAACATGGAGCACAGGGACGCAGGAGTGACAAGGACCAGCCTAGCAGGAGGGAGCGGACGCCCCCGGAGGATTACCTCTCGTTCTTCTCCCGCAGCTCCTCCATTTCCTTGGGCTCCAGCTGGTCTGCGGCTTGCTTCTCGTTGAGCAGAGTCAAGCGGTCAATCCGCTGCTGCATCATGGTGATCTGAGCCTCTGGGGAGGGCGGAGAAAGGGCCCGTTACCATCTTTTTATGTCACCTGAACCCCCCCAACGGCACGGCGGGGGACGTCTGTCCTTCTCCCAAGCTGGTGAGGAGCCGCTGCACAGAAACCACCTGAAGCAGGACAGGGAAGAGCCAGGCTGCCAGCCCTGCTGCTCAGCACGGGCGCTGCCTCAGTCGCGGCTTTTGTCGCCCGGGATATGTACGGGAATACGAGAGGGAAGAAGGAACCCGCGGTCTCCGCATGCGCCTGGGGAAATCCCCAGCACGGAACGTGTTTTGGACGCGGATGGCGAGACTCCTACGCCTGCCAGCCTGCTCCAAATCATTTGGCAGAGAGACCAACAGCCATCTCCCAGAGATGCTCAGAGCTGTTACGACGGCGTCGGAGCTGTCTTGGCTCCCATCAGCAAGGCTTTCTGCTTCGCGCTTTGGTCCAGATTAACGGGGAAGGGTGCCCTTGGCCCACCATGGAGCGAGGCACAGCAAACCCCGAGCTGCCCGGGCTGCTCTGGGAAGCAGAAAAGCCCCAAAGCCGGGAGCTGTGCCCACCTGGGGGCTGGCAGGATGGCACCACGGTCGCGGGGGGGTCAAAGCCGTATCAGAAAGTCACAGAAACCAAAGGGGTCTCAGCCCCAGAGAGCCCTCCCCGCACCCCAGGACGTCCCGATAGGCACTGACCCTTCTCTGTGATGAGCTTGCGATTCTCTGCCAGCTCCACCTCCAGCTCATCCCGGTTCTCTCTCTCAAGAGCCAGCTGCTTCTTCAGCCGGCGCAGCTGAAACTGGGGGGTCTGCATGACGTCCCCCATGGGCGAGGACGGGGGGCCGGGGAGCATGCTGCGGAGAGGCACGCTGCGTTACCCGGTATCCAGAGCCAACAGCGGGGCACAGTCCCTCCCCGCCCAGCCAGACCCGCTCTGGTTCCCCCATCTCGGAGGCAAATCCGGAGCAATAGCTTGGATGCCTCGTCACCCCAGCAGAAAGGCCACTCTCCTCATCTCCACTGCGCTAACGCCAGCCTCCAAGTGCCCGGCGTGCACGTACAGAACCACCTCCAGTCCCAGGGCAAAGCATCCCTCTCCCTTCAGGCCGCAGCCCGAGCCCCACCGCAGAGCTCGCTAGAGAGAAACTCCTGTAGCACATCCAGCAGCAATAGGAGCCTGGTCCTCCCGAAGCCACCCAGGGCAGGAGAGGGCCACAGGCTGCTCTGGGAAGCGTCCGTGCTCATTAGGCTGAAATGAGCTGCGCTAAAAGGAGCTAATTGGAGCCCGACCTCACTCCCCCACCGTACATCCCCACGGCAAGCCCGCAACAGGACGGCATCGCCACAGAAAGGGGGTCTCCGTCGAGTCGGCGTGCGCCCTGGCTGCATCTCCAGGTCCCAGAAGCCGCCCTGTCCATTTGTCCCCTCCCCTCGCTCCCTGCGGCAGCCCGGAGGCTGGGGACTTACTTGTTGGCGCCGGAGGAGGAGGCGATCTTCTGCAGCTCCAGGAAACGCACCTCTCGCTTGTGCGGGAGGGAGAGCAGCGGGGAGTGCTCCTCGGAGCTGCTGCCGGACGCGCTGGACGAGGACAGCGGTGCTGGAAACCAGAAGCGAGAAGCAGGCTGTGATCTTCAGGTTAATGCCAGAAGGGAGGGTTTAGCAGCTGAAATCCCCGATGCGCAGGAACCACAAATTCCAGCAGGGACTCGGGAACAGGGATCAGCCCAGCCAAGAAAGCCATAAACCCGCCTTACATCCCTGCCCTGCCGTCTCCACGGTCCTGCCCCGGCACTCCACTCCCACCCGCCTCGCTGCTCCGGGGAAAGCGCATTTCAGCGGCCTGCGCCGCACAGGCCGGGGTGCTGCCGCGTGGGGAGAGCCCCGCAGGAGCCCCACTCCTAAAGAAGAGCTTACAGGGGACCGTTTTGCAGTGCTCAGTCCCAGGGAGAGGGGATCTGGATGGTGTTGCTGCTTTTATGGCTTGGCAGCTATAGCAGCACAAATGGGGGAAAAAACCCAATGTTTTTATGCTCTAGAAAAGGGTCATCCCCGCCGGTAAGGTGCTGCCGGCACGGGAGCTGTGGAGGAAGATGGCAGCAGGGCTGCACACTCGCAGTATCCCACACTGCTGCTCTCCACAAGGGTAGGGACTGCTTCTGTCCCACCCCGAGCTGGCGCTTGGACAGTGCTACAGCAAACAGGTTAACCTGTCGGTCTCACCACGGCGCTGCACTGGTGCCAGCCAGGAGAAAAACGTGCCCAGTGCCTGCTCTGCCTGCAAAAGGCTTGGCCTGTGACCCCAGCCACAGCACGGGCAGCCAGGGCCCGGTGCTCACCTTTCCTCTGCAGAAACGTCTCCAGATTCTCATTCAGGCTCTCCTCGTTGTCCAGCACAAATCTGAGGATTGACGCCAGCTCAACCTGTGTCGGAGGAGCCACGGGGTCAGCAGCTCTGCCGCAGCAGCCGCGGTTCGCGACCACAGCTCCCTGCCCGCCCGTGCCTGCCCCGGCAGGTGCCCACGCCGGCAGCCACGAGCCTTTGACTGCCCAGATGCACTGGCGAGCACCGCAGCGCCCACCCCGCGCCATCTTTCCAGGGGACCCAGAACAGGAGGGCGGGCCTCAGAGCACCCCCCAAAAGGCACCGCTGCTTCCCCCTGCGCCCCGTCCCGGAGGGGGAACCCAGGAGGGGTTACCTGGGTCTTGTAGTCAAACTCATTCCAGTCCCCGGGGCTCTTGCAGCTCATGGAGGTGTGATACAGGAGCAGCACGGCCACCTGAAACAAGGCGGGTAAGCGTCAGCGACCCCAGGTCGGTCAGCGGTGCGTCGGTGCCGGCTAGGAGTAAAGCGTGCCCTGCCGTTACCTTGGCCAACGCCAGCTCCTCTCCCTCCAGGAGTTTCTGTGCCGAGACCAGGTTCTCCGCGGCCGATTTGTGCTTGCAGTGCTCTGCAACGTGAAGCAGGATTCCCAGTCAGGCAGGAGCCCCAGGCGCTGGGCGCGCTGCCTGCCAGCCCGTGGCGTGTGTCCGTCCCCCGAGGTGAGGGGCTGGGGGCACCGCGATGCATCCCCAAGGAGAAGGGGCAGAGGGCGGGCCGGGCTCCAGAGCTGAGCCCCCAGAGCTCAGCCTCGGCCATTAAGGGCCTTTCTGCTCCCTCCCTGGCAACTTCCCCCTCAGTCCCGGCCTCCCCACCTCGCCCTCAGCACCTCCCTGCGCCTTCTCCTCCACCACCAGCACAAACCGAGTCCCATCTATGGAGGGTGGGATACGGGGTGGGATCTGGGGTGGGATACGGGGTCTCCCCTTCCAGGAGAGACCAAGCAAAAGTGCAAGAAAATTCCCATTTCCCCTCCCAGGATTCCTGCTCAGGTAAAGGTTTTCCAGTGGGATTTGAGCAGCTTGAGGCCAGGCACCGGGCTAGGAATCCCGCCCCAAAGCAGCGTCCCCGGAGCAGCCACCAGCACCCTGCCCTTCAGCCCCGGACCTCCTTTGCACCGAGCCCGGGCTCTGGCAAGGATTCCCACGGGGAAGCTTTCCTTCCCGCACGCTGCCGCGGGGTCAGGGCAGCTCCGCCTGCGCCTCGTGAAGCTGCCGACGCAGCGGGGGGTCGCTTAGGGGAAAGAGGAGCCTGCAGGCCAAGGCCAGACCCCACAGGGGTGGGGGGCACCGAGCAGGGCCAGCCGCTTCCCCCGGCACCGGCTCTTACTCTGCAGGAAGCCGCGGATGAAGGAGATCCTCTCCGGCAGCGGCTGCTCCAGCACAGACTCCCCCTCCTCGCTCCTGTGGCTAGAAGAGAGCACGAGTTGCATTAACGCTTCGCCGAGGGATTAAATAAACGGTGCTTTTTTTTTTTTTTTTTTGTAACAGAGCTCCCCGAGGGGGGGGCT